TGGTGATGCACCTCTCTCTTCTACTTATCCTGACTTCTTTGCCAGAGTTCCTCAACCTGACGCAAAACTTTCAGAGTTGATTTCTCTTTCCCCCTCTAATTGTATGGTCTGGAACATTGGATGCCGCTACAACATGCTATCGGACTTGGTTATTTCGTAGCTTCATAATATCCTCCAACAACTTGAACAAGTTTACATCTCTTCTAATGCCAGAGACTTGATCATATGGGAATAAAAAACTAACAGATTTTTTTATGTCAAATCAGTGTATAGGCTCCTTTTTATGGATCGGGTCCGTATGGTTGATACATCTTTGGGTTCTATTTAGAAATGGCCAGTTCCAATTAAAATCCAAGTCTGCAAAAGAGGGGTAAAATTCTTCCAAACATTTGCTTGATGTGTAAAAATAATGAAGAATCTTGCGCTCACATTTTCCTTCACTGTCCTTTTGCTTCTAACTTATGGCTCTGGGCCTTATCCTTATTGGGTTTTCCCCTCATGATACCTTTGAAGCTCATCAACATTATTAACCTTTCTGTCATTGGATTACCAAAAAAAGGAGTTGTGATTTGGAAAATTTTCAAAAGTGCAATCTTATGGTAGATTTGGTTAGAACGTGACATGATAACCTTTGATGGGATGTCTCAGACTATTGAAAGGGGAAAACATCTTATTTTACAATATCTTTGGAATTGGTTTTCCTCCACGCCTAAAGGACGGGGTGCTCTTTGGACTGATATTTATATAAATCTGAAATTTTTGGCTCATTCCTCCTCTCACTCCAGCCGTCCCCTTAGAACTTGGATTGCACCTCTAGAAGCTTGTCTCAAACTTAATTTTGATGGCATATCATTTGGAAATCCAGGGCCCGTAGGAGTTGGTGAGCTTCTTCGCAACAATTTGGGACTGGTTCTTTTTTTTTATTCGGGCCCTTTGTGCCTGGCCTAATTTGAGGATAAGCTTCGGCCACACCATGCATGAAGTCAACGATGTTGCTGAGGGGCTAGCTGAACATGGTGTTTCTTTTTCCTTTTTGCAAGTTTCTAACAATTTGATCCAATTTTTTAAATCTCATGCTCTTGAATCATTGCTTTAATATAAGTTCATAACA